TTATAGCAAACTGGCACTCTCTATTTTGGTACAGAAACCAATAGAATTTTGCACTTTGCATTACAGGACACAATTGCCTTCGATTACCTGATTTACTATGTGACTAACCTGAAAATTATTTAAATAATAACAGCACAATTAACTACACGTAGACATTTGAATCTACATGTGTGGTCAAAAAATAACCTACTTGCTTAATGACATTGAGGCAGCTACTGCCCCTTTCAGGATCTCTAAAAGATTGAATCACATTGGTTGTACCTTAAAATCTCCTGTAGATTTTTTAGAACTATTAATGCCTAAGGCATGCCCCTGCATCACCAGTAAATTAGAATTTCTACTGGTAGGATCTGGGCATTGGAATTTTTTGGGAACATACATAAGGGATTCTGTTGTGCAAGCAAGGCTGAGAACCACAGTTCCTCTGACTGCAGGCAGGGAGAGCACCAATGACAGGCGAGAACTGGTCTTGGAATTAAACTCTGAAAACTATAGAGTATAAATGGGAAGGAAGCTTGGAAGGGGACATGCATATGTTGGGCCTACTTGTCAGAGCCATGCCCCAGCATCTTGCTACTGTGCAGATGGCAAATTGAACACCAACCCCTCCTCCAAACTAAAAGTCTCACAAGATCAATGTGTTTAAGGGAAACTGAGATTGCTGTTTCCCATGATACTATTATTCAGACCCTGAAGCTTTTCAGTTTTCCATGAGTGAGGTTGCTTGAGAAATAATACACCACCCAGCAAAATAGCACCCCAAAAGTGCTATTGCTTCATTTTGGCACGAAAATTGTGTTTTCCCTTAGGCCTTGCTTCGTAGGCTGGAGTTGCCATGGGAAGCAAGGCTTTATTGGGATGCCAGAACAAACAGGCTCTGAAACCACCCCAGCATAACTTATAGAGCTGCCTATAAATCAAAGAGAGCCCTAGGGTCAAAGCCACTTAGACACACACACACACACACACACTCTCACATACACATACTCCCTGAACAGTATTACAAAGAAGAAGGTGTGTCAGGGAAATCCAACTAAAATTACTGCACGTAAGTAATAATAACTGAAATTTATGTGTCCCTTTCATCCACAGATCTCAAAAGACATAGAATGTGCTAAGATTACCTGTCTTTTGAAAGTTTTCCAATGTTCTGAGGGATAAAAGAGGAGAGATTTTGCATATAAAATCAAGCAAATGGACCTGGCTATGCGGGTCATCTACCCCATCCTGGTTTCAAGCATAGATCCAAAGAGAACAAGCTATTTTTCTCTTTCTTATGGGCATAGTCAATTCCATACCATTCCAGAATATCATCTTCCGACCAGGGCAGTCTGTTTTCTCTAGCAGATTTTCTAGCAGTGATTATTCCGCTGGGACAGGATTTTAAAGCAATCTCTCCCATCTAACATGCAAATGCTGCTGTGGAACTCTGACTACAATGAAACTACTTATCTTTTCTCCCCATTCTCTACCCAGTGGATTTCATTTTGTATCAAGAATGTTCATTCTCCCACTACCTAGTGAGCTCCTTATACTCTAGGGAAGAGTATTTTACTATTGTGGAAATCTGGCAGTGCCAAAGTAATCTTGCTATTTGCAAAACATTTCTGCACCTACAGCTTATTTCTGATAGTAGTGCTTAAGCCCAAAGAGACCCTGCTCTACTTCCTATAGGAATGAGGTGCAGTGGGCATATCCCCAGCTAAGATCTCAGTTGCTCTATCACTTCTCTCCACTTCTTTCCCTCGGGCAGTTCCTCTTCTTTATTTTAACAATGCTAAATTGGAAGGTATGATTACATTTGGATTCCCACAAGAAATATTTTGGAGAAGAATCCCACTTCCCTATTTATGAAGGATTAGTTTGCTGTTTAAAAGAAAGGACATTTGCAGGAAGAAGATGAGCCCTCAATGTAAAGATGTCTCCAGCTCTGGCAATACCCACCCCAACTTGTAATGCACTACAGACTGAGCCCGGCTTGGAGCTCTGGGATTAGTCCTGACTCTTAGCTCCTGGTTGGTTTAGATCTATTTCAATATCCAGGAGTATTTCTCAAGGGACACTCATTGCCAGCCTAACACTGACATTGTGCCCTTGTGTTAACAAACGATTCAGTCTCCTCCCCCATACTCAGTCACCACCAAAACTTGGGTCTAGTCAGAGTCCTTGTGCCTGAAATTCTTTCTTTGTAACTTGCTTAACATACAATAGTCTCCCATCTTTTGGAGAACTGCCATTTCCCAAATTCAATGTCTTTTAAATGATAGTAGTCAACGGTGGATGGAAAATTGACTTGGAATAATTCTTCTTTATTCTTTTATTCTGGTTTGTGTTTGTTTGTTTTTGTTTGTTTTGTTTTTTGGTGTGTGTGTGCCTGGCTTTTGATTGGATGTTAGTCAATCTGGAGCTGAACTAGCAGGTAAATGCTTAGTACCAGTGTGATTTTTAGTTTTAAACTTTTCACTTCCTCCTCACCTTTTCCATGTGTCTCTTTTCCCTGCTTATTCTAAATCAAAAAACAGAGGCAGCTATGTTGTGGTGACACATGCCTTGTTATAACTCTCAAAAGGAACCGCCATATCTCTGTTTTTCATCCCAGACACCTTGGACTAGTTACCTTACCTCTGTGAGTTCACTTTACTCATGACATTTTTTTATGTGGATCAAATGAGTTGGGGATTCTGTATTTGAGAATGTAGGTTATTTTCTCTTCTTTCTTAGTGTTATGAGAACAGAGTGGTAGTACAACATTTTTGTAAGCACTTCCTTAAAAAAATTAGATTTGGGGAGTTTTTTTGCTGTCAAGTGCTGGTCAGGTTTGTTTTGATTACAGTCACTCAACCACAGTTTTACAATTACTCATATGGTGCAAAGGTTTGGGACCTGCATTTATTTCTCTAATGTGCATTTTTCTCAGGTCTTTGACCCAGCACTTGAGCTAAAACAAAACTTCAAACAAGTCCTAAACTAATGGGAGAGCTTCAAAGACTTCTTGCAGAGTCAATTAGCACCTATAAAATTTATCTCTGTTGTCACTAATGGCTATTAAACTAAAGTGAGGGCTAATGAGGACTGATAACCACCACCTCCTGGGATTGTTGTTATTTAAGTGGAAAATAGCCCTTAACTCTCTACATTGAATATCCAATGTGCAATTGGTTTTAGATTCATTAACTATTGTAGATTTGAGATTCTGTTTACAATTCTTTCAGATAAGGAGTGTTACTGAGAACCTGGAATATGTGTAACTTGGTTTTCGCCTGGCTATTTAAATAATTTGTCATGACTTCTTGATGAAATAAATACTGACTCTGGGATGCACATCAGCTATGAGCTCTGAAGACTTCCAAAAATCAAAAGGGTCCATCAGCACCAGGTGATGAGAAAAACTAAGGTCAAGTCTATGCTCTGCCATCTTGTATCTCTAGAACTTGGACAAGGTAATGGGCCCTTCTGTGCCTCTGTGTTCTCACCTATATGATAGGGCTCATGACAGTATCTACATCTAGGAATTATAGTGGATATAAAGGATGAGAACAAAGTGCTCAGTGCTCACTAGCATCTGGTAACCAAGTGAATGATTTTTTCAATTTTTATCAAAGGCAAATACTATTTAAACTCAATGGTAAACTTTTTTAAATGTTTGAATTACTATTATATTTAAAGGGTCTTTTTTAATTGGGATATATTTCCCAAACTACCATGTCATTATAGGTATATATTTCTTTTTTTTTAATTAATGTATTTATTTATACAAGCACTGAGTACAGTCAGAAGTGCGGGAGGGTGAGAGAATTCACCAGAGACAGAGCAGAGAGCAGAACAGGCAGATTGACGAAATACACTGCTGAGGGGAGCGGCAGGAGGCAGGAGAGGTCTGCGCACCATGTGGGACCCTCACGGGGTGGCCGGGGATGGAACTGGCGCTGCAGAGGCTGCGGTCAGCCTTGCAATCCAGCACTCAACCGCTGCGCCACCCGGGAGGTCCTGTAGGTATATATTTCTATATAAGGAAGACGGAGTGATTCAATATGCAGATTTTGCTTTGTGTCTTATTTATAGCTTCTGATTATAAAATTAGTACATTCTAAATCTGTTTTGGAAGAACCAAAAAATAAATAAATAAATAAAGGAAGAGGGAAAAAAAAAAAAAAACTTCACCGGTATAGAATTACCCAGAGACATCTGTTACTTTGTCACATTCTCCTTTAAATAATTTTTACCATCAGGAGTACTATTGGGGAAAAAAAAAAGAGGTACTTTTTATTTATATAGGTGTTTTTGGTATATATGAAATTTCTGATAAATATAAGAAAAATATTGGTTTTGTGCTCATTATGTTTGGCTCTTTTCATTATCTTTCCCAATTTCTTGATTATTCATATCCCATCAAAGCAGAATTCTTAGCCCTGACTGCAATTTAGAATCACCTGGGAAGTTTTAGAAACATACTTCACCCCTAAACAATTCCAAGAGGAGATGGGCGGGGAACAGTGGGGGGGGTGGGGATATGTATTTTTCAAATATCCCCACGTGATTCTTAACTATAGTCAAGATTATATCTTTCCAGTCTTAAGACAGTAGTCAAACCTCCCCTTGCACTGCTGACCTGCCAAACCAATTGCTTCTTAGCATCAAAATTGGAAGTCTTCAGAATCATAAACCTTGGCTCCTTTGTCGATCCTCTAGATTGTTCTTCCTTCTTTATCACTTTTCTTTGAAGGTCACATTATCACATATAAGTACTTTGTTTTCAATGACTTAAAATACACCAATCTTCGGAAGTTTTTCTTCCTTCACAGCATTTTCTTGGCAAATTCTACACCCTCAAATTCTTATTCCTCATCTAATCTCCTTAATCCTACTTTCCCTTGATTTACAGACAAATTTTATCAAACAAGAAAGTTTGAGAGAAGATGGTGGTGAATTTGGGTCTCAACCCACCACCCACACAACATAAGCCTTTCAGACCATGGCTCGCACATCTTTTCTCCACTCACCATTTCTGTCTTCTCTCTCTCTTTTTGCCCCTTTCATAAAGAAGATGGAAACTTTGTTGATCGAGTATCATGGGACTGTCTCGTGGGGACAAATTTCTGCTTCTGAGAAGAAAAGCAAATGTATTCTCTGCTTAATCTTGTAGACAGGATGAGCCAGATTACAAAAAGAAGGGGAAAAAGAGAAAAGAGAAAGAGAGTATTTATGAAAATTGTCACTGTATAATGAGCTATGGAATTTTTTTTAAGATTTATTTATTGATCCATACATACAAGAGCTGGGGTACAGGCCAGATTAGCTGGAAGGTGAAAGGATTCACCAGACACAAAGCAGCGAACAGAACAGGCAGACTGACGAAATACTCTGCTGGGGGGAGTAGGCGGACAGGAGAGGTCTACTGCACCGTGTGGGATTCTCAGCGGCCGGCTGGGATATAAGCCGTGTTGCAGAGACTGCGGACAGCTTCACAGTGTAACACTCAACCGCCTGCGCCACCAGGGGAGAATCTGGAAATTTTTTTTTTAAAGATTTGATTTATTGGGCCTCCCCTGGTGGCGCAGCGGTTGAGCACTGGGTTGCGAAGCTGCCCTGCAGCCTCTGCAGCGCCGGTTCTATCCCTGCCCGCCGGCGAGGGTGCTACATGGCGCGCAGACCTCTCCTGTGGCCCGCTGCTCCCCTCAGCAGTGTATTTCCTCAGTCTACCTGTTCTGTTCCCCACTCTAGCTCTGGTGAATCCTCTCACCCTCCCGCACTTCTGGACTGTACCCCGGTTCTTGTACAAATAAATAAATCTTTTTAAAAAATTGATTTATTTACACAAGCACTGGGATACAGGCCAGAGGCGCAGGAGGGTGAGAAAATCCACCAGAGACAAAGCAAGTTGCAGAACAGGCAGAAGGGACGAAATACATTGCTGAGGGGAGCAGCGGAAGAGACAGGAGAGGTCTGCCACACCATATGGGAATCTCCCTGTCTGGCCAGGAATCAAACCGGCCCTGCGGAGGCTGCGGACAGCTTCACAGCCTGTGCTCAACCCGCTGCAGCACTGGGGAGGCCCACCTACGGAAATTTTTATTCAAAAGAACATACTGTAAAAATACACTATTTTTCAAGATTTCTCAAGCTGAATTTTGGGTTTTAGTAAATGGTTAGTTGTTTGGGGGCTTGCAGGAATGTGTAGCTGGGCAGAAGTAGTCTTTAGGGTACCCAAACTATAGTCCTGTTCTCCCCAAAACAGTTTTACTGTAAGAGCAGTGATCGCAAGAGTTACCATTTGCTGAGAGCTTAGTGCTGCTCTGTCAACAGGTTGATAAATTGCAAAATGGCACTCTAAAGGAGGATATATTCCATAGAAAAAAAAAAAAAAGTTACTTCTGTCTCCTCTATGTAACATATGTACTCAATCAAGTATCCTAACATGATTCTATTTTCTTCATAATCTGCCCAGCACTGACCTCTAAAAATGCAAAGTCTCAGTGGAAAGGTATGTTCTTCTTCTGAATTCTCACAAGTATTGATCTACAGCTCTCTTTTGACAGAATATAGTTTTTCTTCTGTTTGAGACATTCCATAATCTAATGTCTAATGTTTTATAAACTCTGTTAGACTATGAACTTTAGGATGTGCTTTCAGAGTAATACTTGGCACAGTGCTGGCACATAGTAGGTATTCAGTAAATATTCGTTGAATTAGTGAATGTGTTTATTCCTAGCAGCTCACACTTAGCTTTCTCTTGTTGTCTCTCTTTCCTCTTTTTTTTAAATAAATTTTATTTTTATATTCCCCATACAATTGCAACCCCCTTATTTTGACCCCAATCCCTCCCCTCCCCGCACCCCACCCCCCAGAGAGTGTCTCTGGTTCATAGTTTTTTGTTGATTTTGATTTTCACTTTCTTATAGTTATTCATTTTCCTGGTCCCTTATTTAAGTTTTCTAGAGTCCTAAAAATATGGAATGCTTCACGAATTTGCGTGTCATCCTTGCGCAGGGGCCATGCTAATCTTCTCTGTATCGTTCCAATTTTAGTATATGTGCTGCCAAAGCGAGCACTCTTTCTCTTTCCTCTTAATGAAGATAATAATGGATGAGGTGGAGCTATAGATATTAATAATTTTCCTGATAAAAATTACTATTACTATTTAGTTTGATATTCATATTATTTGATTGAACAACAGTTTTTGCAGTGTTTCTTGAAAGTTTTGAAAACATAACATTGCTCTTAATTTTGACTAACCCATGTTGAAAAAAGAAGTGGATTGGAGGATCATAATAGTAAAGTTCTCAATAATCCCTAAAATAATTATCTGTCAATGTTGAATAAATGAAGAATAAATAAGCAATAGATACAACTTGTTGTTTATTTGGAGAAAAATAGAGTTCCTACTTGTATCTCATTTGAAATTTAGTATTGCTGAGATAAAACTTTAAACAAGAAGCTTCATAATTGATAATCATATTTAAAAATGGTTCTTAATTGACAGAGTCCTTTAATAAATCACTTTGCACTCAAGAATTAATGCTCTGGATGTGGATGGAGAACACAAGGGTATAGAGAGGTTGGGTTTCCTGAGGTTATTCAACAGTTGAATATTAATATTGAAATAAGAAACCAGCATGGGGATACTTGAACAAATACCCACTTGTGACCTTTATTTTTTCATAATGAAGATGAAAACTTTGTTACCTGAAAAAATGTTGAACAAGAACATGTTGAACAACAAAAAAAAAAAGTTGAAAAATGGAAAATTCACCATTACATTATTATACTATGATTGATACCTTTAAAAAATTGGTACATTCCCCTCCCAACTATATTTTTTCCAAACAGATACATTATATTTGTACAAACTCTAATCATAGTTGTTTGCAATATCAGGATTATTAAAAAAATTGCCATTTTTTATTTCACTTTTCTAGTATGTATTGTTTTCTATACCAGTACACATCATTAGAAAACACGATTTTTAAATGCTGTGTTGTATTTGAATGTTAAGATATATCATAAAATTATTTTCCTCGTTGTTGATTATTTAGGTTGTTCCAATTTACTTTTTAATTTCTGTCATTAATGATACTTTAGTGAATATCTGAGTACACAGATTTCGATGCACATCTCTGTTTACTTTCTTAAGTTTGAATTCTAGATGTGAAAAACAACTATATCCTTTCTTTTAATTTGTAACTTACAAGTTACCTTGTAAGGAAGCATATGATTCCTTACCAGCACTGAGATTCAAAGCATGATATTATGGAAAGAATTATGATCCGGGAGCCAAAGAAACAGCCTTCTAACCCCTAGGTCACTTCAGTTCACAGGAGGTAGCAGGAAGACCTGAGCTACCTCACAAAAAGTGTATGATTCTCTGTGTTATTCAGCTAGGATGAATTTGACTATCAAGTTTTGAAGTTAATCATCTGCAAGGTCTTGTTAAATATAAATGTCTAGACCCTCCTCCAAGAATGCATTTATTCAGAAGAGCTGACTGGAGTCTAAGAATCATTGCATTTCCAACAATTCCCAGCTATCACTGATATTCCTAGCTTGGGAACAACTGAACTAGAGAATCTGTTTAGAAGGAGGACTAGGATGGTGGATTTGTAAGAGAAATGTCTTCACTTATTTCAAACAAATATAAGGTATAAAAATGAAAACAAAGTCTTAAACTGGAAAAGAAGAGAGAAAATCATCACCTAATTCTCCTGCCTTGGGGCCTCCAGTTGAGTTCCTTCTCCATGAGACCACATCCCAGAGAGGAAGTAGTTACCTTTCAATGTTCTAGGCCAAATGTAGTTTTATACCCATCTCTTTGTTCCCTGGAAAATAATTGAAATGATATAGAATGTTAAAAATTAATTTACCAATAACAAAGACCAATTAAAAGAGAACAAAGGATAAGAAGTAGAGATGTAACAGGTTGGTGTCCATCTCCCTGCCCTGTAAAAGAGATAATAGTTACATAGTGTGGATACATTTCAATTTTTTTAATGATTTATTTATTTATGCATACAAGAGCTGGGGTACAGGCCAGAGGTATGGGGGGTGGTGGTGAGAGGATTCACCAGAGACAGCAGGGAGCAGAACAGGCAGATTGACTGAAATGCACTGCTGAGGGGTGCAGCAGGTGAGACAGTAGAGGTCTGCTGTGCCATGTGGGTAGCAACCTGGCCGGCTCAGGAATTGAACTCATATTGATGTGGCTGTGGACAGCTTCTTAGGTTGTGTCTTAATCCCTTGTGCCACCAGAGAGACCCCTACATTCCAATTCTAATAATTTAAAGGGCTCTGAAAAATAAATTATAACCCTGAAACATTGCATACCCAATCTCCCAAGATGATTGTAATATACTAGAGGATCCTGGGCCACTTCTTCAACCTCTTGCCTGTCTTCCTTGCTTTCCAGAACCTCATTGCCTATATCTGGCTGTAACTATGCTTCCTTTCCCCTAGCATGTGCTAGCTTCTGGTTGTTTTGTGACTAAAGCTATTTAAAACCAACCTATTTGGTTTAGCTTGAGGATAGACTTCTTTCTCTATTAACCAGAAGGCTTGGTGATTGCCAAGGAGCTGACATAGCCTAAGTCACCAAAACCCAGCTCTTTTCACAATGTATACTTAGATAGGCAAAGAAGAATCACACTTTATTCACAGCACAACCCTAGTGTGTATGTAATGAGGACTATACACCTAAGGTAATTAAGACTGTGGGGGTGGGATCATGGCTGTTGTTCTGTCACTAAGTGAGTATAAAGTTGTGCACAATTAGACTGATTAAAGGAAATTAAAATGTTCAGTCAGTCTTCATATACTCAGTGGGTTTTAATTAGGGTCTTTGAATCATCATGTGTGACCACAAGGGATGAATCTAGGACTCATGCATGTATATTATAGGGCAAAAATGGGAGAAACACTGTGTGAGCATTTGTTTTATACTGTGATGAATGTAACATGTATTTTCTTCTTTTTTTTTTTAAGATTTATTTTATTTATACAAGAACCGGGATACAGGCCAGATGCACGGCAGGGTGAGAGGACTCACCAGAGACAGAGCGGGGAACAGAACAGGCATACTGACGAAATACGCTGCTGAGGGGAGCAGCGTGTGAGACAGGATTGGTCTGCTCACCCTGTGGGTTGCTCTGAGGCCAGCAGAGATTGAACTGGCACTGCAGAGGCCGCGGACAGATTCACAGTGCTGCGCCAGGAGGGAGGCCAATAACATGTATTTTCTGAGAGACAGTTATCTAAAAATAGAGTAGATTGCTTTCAAAGATAATGGTTTGCCTGATACTGGAGATATTCTAACCAAATTCATCTTCAAATTCTGCTTTTTCCAGTAAGCCTTCTCCCCATTACTAGACTCATAATTTGATCTTAAATCAATTATTTTTTTCTGTAACTTGTCATTCTACTTCTACTCTTGCCTCCTACTAACCAGTGTGATTAGAATAGTAATTTTTTTAAAAGGTGAACTACAACATACCTCTGCTTAAAACATTTCAATGATTTTTAATACACTAGTGTTAAAAAACAAACTTGTTAATGTGTTGTACATGGCCTTGCTTATTTCCAACTCTCTGTTTTATTTCTTCTACTCTTTTTCACAATCATCACACTCCTGAACTTAGGTATTCTTCCTCTTTGAATAGACCATGCTATGCCTTTGCCTGGGTCTTGTCTGATGTTGGCGATGCTTTCCCCTCAGTGCAATGTTAGTTCCATTTCATCATTCAGATTGCCAGCAAAGTATTTTCATCCCAGAAACTCATTCCAACCACCTGTTAGTAAATATTAAAGTCCCTATTGAATTTTCTTTATTGCCACTTTATTTTTTATTTAGTTATTACGTTTTATTTTTTTCTCATAAGAATATATTTTCCACAACAGCAGAGTTTTGTTTATTTAATTCATAACTGAATCCCTAGCACCTGAAGTCATGTGTGGATAGAAGGAAGGAAGTAATGAAGGAGGTGTGGGGAGAAAGGAAGGTAGGAAGGAAGGAGAGTTAAAAGCCTTTAAACATTTCATTAACCAGTACATATTTTATCAATTTAAAGTTTTAAATTTTCATGTGAGTTTTAAAGAACAATAAACTGACATAATCTCTTTGTCCCATCTCCTCTAATTGAATTGTCTTATCCAATCAATGGTTTATTTTATTTCTTCATGTGCACAGCTGTGTGATATTCCAAGAGCTACTTAGAATTCCACTTTAGAGTTATATTTAATGAATCCCATATTAAAACACTGTTTTAGAGATTGGAGAATTGAAAATCTGTGTGGGGGACTTGCCCAAGGTCATGTGGCAGAAATGAGAAAAGTTCTTTCCACTGCATCATCCTGGAATTTGTTAAACACTCCAACCAGACTTACACCTTTCCTCTAAAGAAAGTAAGAGCAACTTCAGAGTCCTTATTTTTAAACCTGCATTAAATGGAAACCTTTGGAAGAGCAGGTGGTGGTAATGCTATGAATTTGGCTCAGCAAGGGAACACTGAGGTCATGATATTTTTCACATTTGGTAACTACAAAAATATAGGGATGATGTAAACTTCCTAAGACTTGTTGCCAGCCTAGTGATACTGGTAACTCTGGGCAGGAGGGTGTGTCATTGGTCAGGGCAGGCACATGGATGGCCAATGAGCTCTCACTAGTCAAGGGAGATGCTCGGGTAATACTTTCAGAAGACTGTCTTGGATTCACATCCTGCTTACAGTAACACTAGCAAGGCTGCTTAAATATCCTGTTAGATACATGACAAAAATATCCAATGATGTGAAGAAGTTATTGAGACCAAATAGTACCTACTTTATAGAGCTGAAAGATTTAATAAATTGATATTTTAATGTGCCTTGCACACTTTGGCACTTAGTAAGTGCACAATAAATGTCACTTTTTAAAATTAAAAGGCAGATTGAAATGAGAGTTATGTAGAATGCTGTTTTCCTGAGTTAAATTGTACTACTCTCTACTCAGCTTATCCTGACCCATCTTAAAGTAACCCACCCTCAAAGAAAGACTCACATGTGGGCCTCCCTGGTGGCACAGGTGGTTGAGCGCAGCACTGTGAAGCTGTCTGCAGCCTCTGCAGTGCCGGTTCGATCCCCACCAGCCGCAGAGCTACCCACATGGCAAGGCAGACCTCTCCTGTGTCGCCCGCTGTTCCCCTCAGCAGTGTGTTTCTGTCTGTCTGCCTGTTCTGTTCCCCGCTCTCTGTCTCTCTAGTGAATCCTCTCACCCTTCCACACATCTGGCTTATTCCCCGGTTCTTGTATAAACATAAATATATCTTTAGGGCACACCTGAAAGGGACATTCATAGTGATCACTTGGTTACAAATGAAGACCCTGAATCAAATATCAAATGAGCAATGAAAAAAAAAAAAAAACAGCAACAATCAGATGGATATTATCCAGGGCAATGACAGAACTGGATTTTGAACCTGCATCTGATTTTTCCCCAGTCCATTGCTTTCTTCTCTGCTTTGTCTAGCAATGTTTACTACACTTTTCATTTGATTCATTATTAAAACATTTTCTACATTAATGTCCCTTGCTTTCTACAGATTGATATTTAGTTCCACCTTTAGACTGGAGGCCAGGAGTAAGTTGTATTCATTCTACCTGTCCTTCTGGAAGATCTACAACCACACTAAATATGTGTCAGCATATAAGGGATCACAAGTAGATCATCTCTAAGGACGCTAAGGTCCAACATTCTGTGATTCTATATTCATGATGGTGTTTCAGCCCAGTTTTCCTGAAATGGTTCCTAAATACACTGATTAAGATGACTAGGGAAATAGGTAAAATCATTAACATCAAAGTGATTTTTAAAATAACCTTAAGCATTTAACTATCAATAATGCAGGATCTGCCTGATATTTTGTCCCCATGCAAAAAAGGATAAATAATACGTTACTGTAAAGTACAGAGGGTTTTAATCTTAAAATTGTTTTAATAATAGTTCTGATGCTAATTATACCTCAAATTTGGTGGAATTAACATTTTCTGTTTGTGGTGTATGATCCCCTGGCTAATTCTATTTGGTAGCACTTAGTTAAAATTTTGTAAATAAGTCCCATGAATTTGTAATCAGAATTAAAACAATCATAATTCAATTTTGCTGACTTTACCTAACAATGTGCCCTTGTAATTTTGTGTGTGTATATTGATATGTACACATCAACTAAAATTTTACTATTAATTTATGTATAAATTACAGAAAGTTTTAGCTCCCTTAGACTGACTTTCAACTGCATTTAATCTTTGAAAGAAAAGCTAACCATTTTACTGCATTTCTATTCAGATGGAGGTGAATAAAATTAATGCTTATCCCTTGCTACTCAGGCACTTATTTCATTCAAAGAGTAAAAAAACAAGAATGCAGTGGTTTAAGAATGTAAAAACGCAACTCTGCTGTTTCACTCACTCTCTGATTCACAGTTCACTTCCCATTTCCTGAGTTCAATTTCTTGATCTGTAAAAGGAGAGCGGAATCTGCTAAACAATTCAACTCCCTCTGTCAATAAGTCAAGGATCTGTCAATAAACACCAAAAGGTTTAAGAGATGGCACAATTAAATTCCTTCTACACTCCCACGTGCCAGTGAATGACTTAGCTGCAAAAAATAGTCATGTTCCTTTCAGTGTGGATTTAGTTTTCTCCAACCCCAAGCAGCTGAACAAATAAGCAGATGTATTTGTGCTACTGCAGAAGAAAATACAAAATTGCCTGTACTTCTCAGTGATTCACTGACAGATAACTTGGAATATCTTTTTTTTTATTCCACATTCTAGTAGTCCCCAAAGCTGCCA